TTGGGGGCATTCCAGGGGGGTTTGGGGTAATTCCAGGGGGTTTGGGGAAATTTCAGGGGGTTTGGGGGCATTCCAGGGGATTTGGGGTAATTTCAGGGGATTTGGGGTCAGCACGGGAGGTTTGGGGGCATTCCAGAGGGTTTGGGGCATTCCAGGGGGTTTGGGGCATTCCAGGGGATTTGGGACAATTCCAGGGGGTTTTGGGTAATTCCAGGGGGATTTGGGGTAATTCCAGGGGGTTTGGGGTAATTCCAGGGGATCTGGGGCATTCCAGGGGGTTTGGGGTAATTTCAGGGGATTTGGGCATTCCAGGGGGGTTTGGGGTAATTTCAGGGGGTTTGGGGTCAGCACGGGAGGTTTGGGGTCATTCCAGGGGATTTGGGGCATTCCAGGGGATTTGGGGCATTCCAGGGGGGTTTGGGGCATTCCAGGGGGGTTTGGGATCATCCCAGGCGATTTGGGATCATCCTGGAGGATTTGGGATTGTCCCAGGGGGATTTGGGATCATCCTCAGGGATTCATGGTTGTCCCAGGGGATTCAAGATTGTCCTGGGGGATTTGGGATTGTCCCAGGGGGATTCGGGATCCGCCCAGGAGGATTTGGGATCAGCCCAGGGGATTTGGGATCAGCCCAGGAGGATTTGGGATCAGCCCAGGGGATTTGGGATCAGCCCAAGGGATTCGGGATCAGCCCAGGGGATTTGGGATCCGCCCAGGAGGATTTGGGATCAGCCCAGGAGGATTTGGGATCAGCCCAGGGGATTCGGGACCGTCCCACTCCAGAGGGTTCCGGAGGGACTGGGATCCCTGGAGCGCGGGATGGGGAACCCACGGAATAACCGGGACAGGATCCGGGATCCATTCCCGGAATCCCAGAGGAAGCAGGCCCGGGAATCCCGGAATGGTTTGGAATGGGAGAGCCCGGGAATCCTGGAATGGTTTGGGATGGGAGAGCCCGGGAATCCCAGGAATCCCGGAATGGTTTGGGATGGGAGAGCCCGGGAATCCCGGAATGGTTTGGGATGGGAGAGCCCGGGAATCCCGGAATGGTTTGGGATGGGAGAGCCCGGGAATCCTGGAATGGTTTGGGATGGGAGAGCACGGGAATCCCGGGAATCCCGGAATGGTTTGGGATGGGAGAGCCCGGGGGATGATCCCATTCCCAGCGCGGGAATCCTGGAATGGTTTGGGATGGGAGAGCCCGGGAATCCCGGGAATCCTGGAATGGTTTGGGATGGGAGAGCCCGGGAATCCCGGGAATCCCGGAATGGTTTGGGATGGGAGAGCCCGGGAATCCCGGGAATNGAGCCCGGGAATCCCGGGAATCCCGGAATGGTTTGGGATGGGAGAGCCCGGGAATCCCGGGAATCCCGGAATGGTTTGGGATGGGAGAGCCCGGGGGATGATCCCGTTCCCAGCCCGGGAATCCCGGGAATCCCGGAATTCCGAGCCCCACCTTGGCGGGCTCCGAGGTGTCCATGGCCGCTCCGCTGTCCACCTCGGCCGCCTCAGCCTGGGCGAACTCTGCAAAATCCCAAAATTCCATGGAATTTCCCCGGATTTCCTGAGAGTTTTCTCAAGGGATATCCCCCAGGGTTTTCCAGGTATTCCCCAAGGGTTTTCCCAGGGATTTCCCAAGGGTTTTCCCAGTGTTTCCCAAGTGTTTTCCTGGTGTTTCTCAAGGGTATTTCCTGAGAATTTTCCTGGTTTTTCCCTATATTTCCCAGGGGTTTTCCCCTGTATTTCCCAGGGGCTTTCCTGGTGTTTCCCAGGGTTTTCCCAGCATTTCCCAGGGGTTTTTCCCTGTATTTTCCTGTTGTTTCCCGGGGGTTTTTCCCGGGGTTTCCCGGGTGTTTTTCCTGTTGTTTCCCGGGGGTTTTTCCCGGTGTTTCCCAGTGTTTCCCAGGGTTTTCCCGTTGTTTCCCGGTGTTTCCCGTTGTTTCCCGGTATTTTCCCGTTGTTTCCCGGGGGTTTTTCCCGTTGTTTCCCGGGGGTTTTTCCCGGGGTTTCCCGGTATTTTCCCGTTGTTTCCCAGGTGTTTTTCCCGGTATTTTCCCGTTGTTTCCGGGTTTTTCCCGTTGTTTCCCGGGGTTTTTCCCGGTGTTTCCCGTTGTTTCCGGGTTTTTCCCAGTGTTTCCCGTTGTTTCCCGGGTGTTTTTCCCGTTGTTTCCCGTTGTTTCCCGGGGTTTTCCCGTTGTTTCCCGGTATTTTCCCATTGTTTCCCAGGGGGTTTTCCCGGTGTTTCCCAGGGGTTTTTCCCGTTGTTTCCCGGTATTTTCCCGTTGTTTCCCGGGGGTTTTTCCCGGTGTTTTCCCGTTGTTTCCCGTTGTTTCCCGGGGGTTTTTCCCGTTGTTTCCCGGTATTTTCCCGTTGTTTCCCGGGGGTTTTTCCCGTTGTTTCCCAGGGGTTTTTTCCGTTGTTTCCCGGGGGTGTTTCCTGGTATTTTCCCGGTATTTTCCCGGGGGTTTTTCCCGTTGTTTCCCGTTGTTTCCCGGGTGTTTTTCCCAGTATTTCCCGGTGTTTCCCGTTGTTTCCCGGGTGTTTTTCCCGGTGTTTCCCGGTGTTTTCCCGTTGTTTCCCGGGGTTTTTCCCGTTGTTTCCTGGGTGTTTTTCCCGTTGTTTCCCGGTGTTTCCCGGGTCCCCGGCGCACGCACCGGCGCCCTGCAGCGACATCTGCATGGCGTAGGCGATCTGCTCCTCCTCGCTCATGGAGCTCAGGTCCGGCAGCCCCGCGCGGCCGAACTCCGGCTGCCCGATGGTCATCTTCAGCAGCGCCTCGTCCGACTCTGCGGGAGCGCCCGGCATTCGGGAATGCTCGGCATTCCGGAGTGCTCGGCATTCCGGAACGCTCGGCATTCGGGAATGCTCGGCATTCCGGAACGCTCGGCATTCCGGAACGCTCGGCATTCCGGAACGCTCGGGGCGTCCCGGGAATCCAGGGGGTGTCCCGGGAATCCAGGAGGTGTCCCGGGAATCCAGGCGGTGTCCCGGGAATCCAGGGGGTGTCCCGGGAATCCAGGCGGTGTCCCGGGAATGCTCGGGGTGTCCCGGGAATGCTCGGGGCGTCCCGGGAATCCAGGGGGTGTCCCCACCCACCCAGGGAAGGGTTCATCCCAAACCCATCCTGCTTTTGGTTCCTCCTCATTCCCATTCCATCCTTTCCCCTCA